TTGATAATTATATCCGCATTGCTGTCGTTATCTGCCAAACGTCGAAACGATAGTTTGCTCACATCCTCCCACATCTTGAATGATTTCGCCATGGTCACCCGAACTGTTTCTGATGAGATCTTCGCACGCGGCTGTGGACTACCATGCACACTCCACGATAAATTCTTGAATAACGCAAATATAAGCATGCTTCAAATTCAGATAACGATTTACTCATGTTACAAAGACAATCGAAATTGTGCAAATCATGGGTAAATATATGAAGTTTGAACTACACGCGAGCCTCTCAATCTAAGTTAAGTTAAGCAGTTTTCCACGCACGGAAAAGTTTAAATCTTCCTAAATTTTATTTAGATACTAATTACCTCAACAAAAATTACAAAGGCAGCCACGTTTTGCTTTTTTTACGCGACTGACTTGTGTAGTTTTCCTATAAAAGTGGCGTGTTTGGTTTGCTCTAATAAAGAAGTCATTCATTGTTTTTAGGAGAATATAACCTTATGTTGAAAATGTGTGTTTGATATCTCAAAGGGCGATAATTTAATTGCTTTCATGGATTTTCTTCACTCTTTATCTTTTTCTTTTTCCATAATAGTAGGTATTACTGTTTTTTGTTATTTTAATTGTTCCAATGGCCTCGTTTCGATGTTTGCCTGTTTTAGCATTTAATGCCGATACTTCAATTTAATTAATGATGACGCCACAACACTAAAACAGCGATGACATCATCAAGTTTAATAAAAGTGATCTACTGTATTCTGTTTTTATTCAAAACTCGTGCTGTCTGCCTTTTACAAATACAGTCACGAGCCCCATTGTAAAGTGTGAGTTTATGTAGCCCTATATTATTCTACATTATTTTATGAAATATTGCATAGAGTGTAAAAACGCCATACATTTCTGTGAGTTTTATAAATGCTGACCAAACATATCGCAGGTTCAAGCGGTATCAAACTTACCAATATTTTTTGCACTACATACTTTTAGTATCGATATTTGGTATCGGTATCAACCATTCCTATTATAAAGCAGGGCTGTATACCGTTTCGGTTTATCTGGTTTCAACCGGAACACTTTCCGGAGCAATAAAAAATTATTTAAGGTGTTAGACTTTGTGCCAATATTATATGTAAAGTGTTATCTTTGAGGTCAAAATGGGTATGAGTTAAGATATTTTCTTTAGGCGAGTATCTTCATTATTAGTGTGATCAATTTCGAGACTCGAATCTAACTGTACCACTGTAAAGCCTTACAAAGCTGACGAGAGCCGAGTTTCAAATAAAAAATGTCTATTAAATAAATCTTTCAAAATATTCAAAATTAATGAAGAAAAATAAACCTAAAATACGGAAAAGGGGTAACTGCTGTGATTAAAGAACTTTCTCAGTAAGTTTTTGTTGGCGTTAGTTGAAAATACAAAGTAAATTTTACAATGTTTTTAACTATACTAACCTTGATCAACTAACGTTTAATTATTATTGAAACGAAAATACAATTAAAAGCAACCACAGATATATAGTTTTATTTCGGAAATTCCTGTTTTTGTTAGTTGAAAAAGAAAGAGACATGAATCTGAAATGAAGGAACTTAAAAACATACTGGTCGAATGTCGGGCCTGTTCATTTATTTATAATTTTATATTTTGTTCTCATATTCGTTGCGCATGTTCGATTAAATAACTAAATAACTCATTACTTCTTCATTTTCTTGAAATACTGTCCAAAACTCTGCTAATATTCTATAAAAAATCCTGTCGAGAAGTTTTGCTAAGTTACACCAACCAGACCATGTTTTTCTTTGTTTGAAAATTTACAATGCTAGGCTATATGATAAAAAAGTTACTGACCTCTACCGTTCGTGCAGTACAGAAAAATATCAAAACTCTGTTTGAGCTCGGTTTGATATTTTCCCGTACAGCCGTGACACTCTGCCAGTAATTAATATGTTCATATTTCTCTTTGATCTTACTTCATGCAATCACAGACCTATACTTGACTTACTGTGTGCAAACTGACATGAGGAAATAACCAAATGAAAACGAAGCCATCGGCCAAGATAAAAGTGCATGCAATAAACAGCCAGTACAGTTTACTGACATTTTTTGTTGCAAAAATGTTTAATATGACTAAAGTCACAGTATAAAATTTAAAATAATGCGGTTCCAAAAATGTAACAACATATTACCATTTTTTTCCATGTACTACCCTGTTTTACATAACGCTTCAAACGAGATTGAGTCTTTGCAGTGTCGCTTGCCCCACACCGTGGACCAGTAAGCATTGCAACCGTTGCTTCATCCATCGCACCTGTTACAGGTAGTTTTGCGTACGCCTGAAACTCTCTAACAGCGTTTTTCCTTTTATTAGGTGGCGTGCCATAATAGTTTGCCATATAGCCATATCTCGTAAGGTATTGGTTTGCCTAAGAATTTCGTAAATATAAAAGCCAACTCAAGTGGTATATAGACTTGTACTTTAATGTATATTTTATCTCTAAATTTTTAAACTATATTAACGTAGAATGAGGTCTTTATAGGGTTAACCCCTGGCTGCTCCTACAAGACCTTTGTGTGTAAACATTGCACCTTGAATATATTGATTGTCTGATTGATTGATTACACTCTAAAATCACACTGGTTAAAAATTTCCTGGTTAATTTAAAAATAACACAGTTTGGGGTAACTTAATTAGTCCTGGTTAATTCGATCATAGCTAATTTAACCAGGAAGCCTGGTTAATTTAACCTAGCTATATGGTGGAATTAACCAGATTATATATGTTAGGTGAACTATATACTATCCAGGAATTCCTGCTTAAGAATCCACCTAACATAATCTGGTTAATTCAACAGTATAGCCTGATATTTTTTTGCGTGTATTTTGACGTTATGTACTCAGGTGAATATAATGTTTTTGATGTTAGTCTGAGTGTATATTCACATCGGGCAGGCTAAAACGTTAGCCTGACTGGTATCCCAAAGGTTTCGGGTTCGATTCCCACCGTGATCAGGCTAACTTTTCAGCCTGCCCGGTATGGATATACAATCAGACTAACATAAAAAACATCAGAATAGCCTGCAGCTTAAATAGACAACTTCCATGTTAGACTATGATATAGGAAAAAAATTTCCGTGAAGAACTTATTAAAATTAATAAAATTGATAAATTTGGTTACGTTAGCCAATTTTTTATTATATGTTTGTATTACGTGCGGGAATTGTTACCATTTTTGAGCCGAAAATGCGTGGTAACAATTTCCGCGCACGTAATAAAAGAATATACAAAATTTGCAAACTTTGCAAGGCTATATTTTCCAAGCTTTACAATATTTCTCAACAAAATTTTGCAATTTTATCAAGTATTAATTTCATTATGTTCTTTTTAGCTGTAGGGGTTGATTCCCTTCTCTTTACTAAGATTAAAAGTTAGTCTAACATACGTACATGAAAGTTGTCATTTAACCATGCAGGGATCTTGATTAAATTAGCCACGATACTGATAAGATTAACCTGGACTGAGGTTAAATTAACAAGAAATTTAACCAGGTACATTACGTTACTCCAAATAGTGAATTCGTTTTAGACTAATCAGGAAATTTTTAACAAAGGCGTTTTTAGAGTGTAGTCTTTCTTCCAGGTTGACGTAATTAGCGGAATTTATACATTACCAGAAATATGGGACAAGATGGCGACGGACATGCGCACTTTGACCAAATATGGCGGCTAAATATTACTATAAACTATATGGGAGTTGATCAAAATATCAAATTTTAATATACTTTGTTTAAATATTTCATGATTGCGGAGCTCGATTATAGTAGCGACACGAACAAGCAATATTTCTAAACAAAAATCGCTAGTATTGCACCGCGTCTAGCAGGTTCCTGAGAATGTTGTATTTTTACAGGCAATTCGATGAATTTCATAGTGTAATTTATAGTAAACTTGTGACACAAGAGGTAAATATCCGACGAATAGACCAACATCCATTCGGACGATGCAAAGTGCGGAGCTCGCGATATATTTAATGATGTCCAAACTGTTAATTTAGCTAAATAAATGCGCTGCAATTTCCAGGGAAACTGGTTCCCGAAACGTTTAAAAGTTCGCCTTTTTACGGTTCTTGTATGTCGCCATTAAGCCATCTTAATATCCAAAAACGACAAGTTTTAATACAAATTTGAGCTGTTTCGAGCAGCCATGTCTCTTGTTTATTTTGAAGGACTAGATCCCAGGCTCTCACGTAAAAACACAGGGATATTTTAGGATTTTTTAGGGTATTTGCAATATTTTTAGTCTTGATAAAAATTTGCGGGGTTAAAGGTCAAAATATCGGAAGTGATCAGCAAAAACTGCAAAATATGGTTTAAAATCACAGTTTTTGGTTGAATAATACTTGAACTGGAGATTTAAAGTAAAATGCGAAGTCGAATTACTTATATTAGGCAATGTTGGGCATATAAAACGGACTTAGCCGCTGACTACAAAAGCGGGAGCAAAATGTCCCATATTTCTGGTAATGTATTAGAGACCTGAAACGTGACCAATATAAATCCGAATTTTCCGCCGAGAATTTTCCGTCGAACTTTCCCGTCCAAAAAGGAAAAGTTAGATAGAAATCTGAGTAGACGAAAAACTCATCCTAACTTTGCGTTTAGATTATAAGTTAAGACGTGTAAACAACGGGCTACACAGAGATTGACTGCATGGAACTGTAAATTACGACAGGGGATGCAAATGGTGTCGAAAAAGCGATGAAGCAAGTCAAAAGTTAAGCGAAACAAATTTGAACTGACGAAGATACAATTGGAACATTACACAATTACTTCCTTCATCCGATTGCATAAAGCGTTCTTGCACTAACATTTACATTCTCGAACACGTTTTATTTATGCTGTGCCTCTGTTGGCTAAAACACTAAAATAGTGCAAACCATTGCAGCCCTGCAGTAAATCTAGTAGTATAAATTTTAATACCATTTTTGTGTTAGTGAAGAAAAGTAAATTTCTCAAATTTATTAATAATTCATGAGAAATTTAGCCACTGATAATCACCTACTTGATCACAAGATGCCATTTGGATAACCCGATGAAAGTCATTAGTGTTTTCATCAAATATCTTAACTACGCATGCAAAATTACTTGAATAGAATTCCTAATTACGATACGCTTGGTTAAGAATTCTATTCAAATCAGCGCGCAAACGAAAACATTCTATATTCAGATGAAACACTCGCTCTCGTTGTTCATATATTACTTACCACTCTGGGGCCGGTTGTTCAAAAGTTGGTTAACTTTAACCCAGGGTTAGCGCTAACCCTGGGTTAAAATCATTAACGCAGGGTTAGTTAACCTGAGTTAAAACTGCGTTGTTCAAAGCTGGGTTAGAGGTGCGGTTAGTTAACCCAGGGTTAAGACATTTAACCCAAGGTTAATTTTGTTTTAAAAATAAATGTAATATAAGAACGTTCTTGATTGGCTGGAAAGTAAGTGTCAAAACTAGAGATATAACGGAATAGATGGGAGAAATATTGTTTAACAAGCAATAGGTAACTGAAATTGAACATTTCAAACATAGATGTAAGCATTTGAAAGTTTCAAGAAAAAAATATACGTGATCAAAGCGGCAAAGCCATTTAAATAAATCAATTTTGGAATTTTAGGCAGTGCTTGAATAATTAACTTTGAGAACAAAATCCCAGCCAATCAAATGAACTTCGAATTATTTTGGAGTTGAAAAGCATATTTCAACGCATGCGTGTTTATCCTATAAAACAGAACACGAAAACAGAAAAAGAAGCAGCGAAGTTGTTTTATACAGCTTTCAAAAACAGTGTTTTTACTAGATAATACACTGTGCTGCAAACAGTAGATGTGCAAGAACTTGTGACTGTTCAACAAATGGCAAATGGAAACTTTGTGAAACAGGTGGTGGTACGGTGAATTGTTTGGCAATACAGGTATTTTTTCAATAGAGTTATTTTTCGAACAAACTTGAGTTGAATGCTCGGCTTTAATAAAACTACAGTCTACAGTTTTGTTGGAGGCAATCGACAAAGATCTCGTGAGGTAAATCTTTTTACTGTACAGTGTACACAATCTTGATTACGGCATTTGTGTATACCAAACTATATTTTGAAAACCGGCAGACGTAGCTGTTTCTTTTGGCGTTTTGTAAATTAAGGTACTTTTCCACAGTATTAACACAACAAAACAGTAAACTATGATATCCATGCTTAGACCATAGCACCCCAAAATTGATAGAAAGTTTCCGTATCTTTCACTTTAATGCTCGTATATATAAATTCAAAGTCAACTTGTAGGCCAGTAAAATCATTGATTCAAACGCTTATACGGGGCGAATAAGAATCTTAATAGTATTTATAGACTTAGAATTTATAGACCTAGAATTTAAATTTTCCTCCATAAAATCTTTGTACACCAAAATGTTTCACCAAGAGCTTTACATGGTTTCTTTTTTCACTCCTTCACTCGTTTCATTTTGAATACGAGTTAACCGGTCGATTACCATGTTAACCCACCTGAATTTAACTTAAATTTAACACTTGTTTTAACCGAGGGTTTAAGGATAACCTAGCTTTGAACAACGCAAAGTAACCTAGGGTTAAATTTTAACCCTATATAGGATGAGCAAATTTAACCAGCCTAGGTTAGCGTTAACCACATTTTGAACAACCAGCCCCTGGTGTTGTAGCGACACTCATAAGTTTATAGCGCATGCATAGAATCAATGACCTCATAACGGGCAAATGATCGCGATTAAGCTAATAAAAGAAGTTGCGCTATGAAGAACCATCCTTTCGTGCATTGTCCCTACATAAATCTTCCATACCGAATTAGACCAGGAGTCTTGACATAAATAAGAACACATTTCCGATATGTATAGTATGTTATCGAGTGCAAATTAGGAAAACATGCGTGAGTAAGTTTTTTAAAGTCAATCAGAATTGCACGAGTCCGGATGACGAAATTGCTCGAGAAACCATGCTATTACTTTTTAATATGAAAATATATACATGAAAAATATATACATGAAAAATATATCTTGAAAAAATACACATGAAAAAATTATGCAGTTATGTCCATGCGTACGTCACATGCGAAATATGTAGATAATTTTAATACAAAAAATTGATTACAAAATTTTCTAATACCGTGTTAAGTAAATGTTTGGTTTTTTGTATTATTTTCAATTTTTGAACCATATTTCTTTTTTCGAAAAAATTGCACTGCTCTTAACCAATAGGTATAGAATTGAAATTTTTTTTATGTATATCATTAATTAGTACGTAATTGAACCGACTTAACCTTCTACATGCATAAGCTTACGAAACAGTGGAGCAAGGGGGAGGGGTACAACTGAGAAAAACACAT